CACACACATTGCTTATCAGCCTCTACATGCCTCCTTTAGACAGTCTAGGTTAAGAAAACAATTATGTTTTCTGGGACTGCTGAGATATGGCAAGAAGGTAAAAAAAAAAAAATCTACACTTATCAGCCCATTGGCCTTACATCAGCCCCATGGACTCAGTAACACAGGATTTCAAAGCGGGAAGTCATCTCATTCAGATACGGAGACAAGTTCAAGTCATGATAAAAGAAAGAGCCACTCTGAGGGCTCACTTTGGGCTGGGTGATTAAGATACATTATCCCTTTGATCGTCACATAAACTGTCTTGGGGATCCCTCCAGATGAGAAATTTGACAGTCAGAGAAAAAGGGGTTTTTAGAATTTTCCAGAGCTAGACCAATGGGCATAGAGCTGGGATTTAAATTCTGGTCTGGTCTATGACCTGGGTAGAGAGACAGAAAGAGATGAAAACACAAAGACATCGTAGACGACACAGAAACCAGGCAGTTAGGCTAAATGCTACCCGAAACTGGAGATATGTAGAGTTGAGAGCAGCAGAGAAAGGAGAGCAGGGTCTTGAGTTATATTTAACACAGAGAACTAAAATGTGGGCAGGGTAGCAGTCTTCAGGAGAAGGAAACCAACGATTGATAGAAAGCTTTCAGAGGTCAGAATGATAACCTGTGAACTAAAGCCCACGGGAAGCCGTCTCGGTAGTAAAATGTCTGAGAGTGAGGTATCTGGGAACAAGGAAAGTGGTTGAGATTCAAATATCAGCATTCTGACTACATACTAAAAGAATAGAGAACATTTTAGAATTGTGTTAGGATACAGGGACTTTGGCCGCAAGTCATAGGGCAATTTGGAAATGCAGGAGCAACTTACAATTAAGCCTCAGGCTCCCCTGCAAATCTCTGCTGTCAGCAAAGCTAATTTGGGAAAGAACCTGCGAAGCCAGCATGCGCTAGAGCCTGCCCGGATGCCTGGTGTGAGCTGTAGGCTGTGCAGAGGCTGTAAGCTGGGAGAGCTCGAAGGGACAATGGGACAATGGGATCAGGGACAATGTGCTCCCTGCTGCAGGAGCCCAACAAGCAAGGTCCTAGGAACTGAACGGAAACAGATCCCTTTTCTGATTAGACAGCTTCCCAAGCCAGGTCTGGCCCAGTAGCCCAAGCCCACTAGCTCACTTCTGCTTGGCGAAGCTGGTATTAAAGGGCTGGATGTGAACACCTAGATACCTACCCTCTGAATCTCTCACCAGGCCCCAGTGCGCATGGGCTGGGCCAGGTCAAGAAGCAGGAGCATCCACACATTCCGTCTGACGCCACTGGATGACCACTGATCACCAGAGGAAAACTTGACCTCATCCTCTGAATATTAGAGTTGAGAAATAAGGCAAGGGCCGAAGGGATGAACTCCTCTGTCACCAACAGGAAATGAGCCCAGCAGATCCCCCCATCTCCCTCCGAACCCCAGCCCTCTTCTACAGCTTGACTCCAGGCCAAACTCGGGCAGTCTGACCAGTCTGACGGACAAACAAAGGAATCAAGGAGCTGTCACCACACTGGCCTTCAGAAACACCCTACTGAGAGGCTATTAGAAGGTCTGGGAGAAACTAACCGTAAATACCAAGAGAACTAGACAAAAGTAAAACAAGGAAATTACTAGCTCTAGAAAAAAAGTAACAAAGGAAAGACAAAAAAGGAAGCCAGAAGTTTACATAACAGTCAATTACAACACTCAGGTGTAAATAATATTTGCATAGAAATAATAACGTAGCCACTGAATATTGATCTAACTAAAATGTATGACATAACCACGCTGAAAGGATAATGGTGGGATGCACAGGGATAGGAAGTCAGTGGATAATGCACGAGATTGATGAGTCAAAGGTAGCCCTATACGTGCATTTAGAGGTGCAGAGATGTAAGAAGAAACACTTTAAAATCTAAAGTAGTTGCCCTGGGAAGAAAGACTGGGGGTGGCGGAGGCGGGGAGAGTGGACAAGAAAGCTACTTTATTTGGAACATAATCTTTTTAATGCTGATCGACTTTTTAAATTATGAGTATGTTGCACTGATAAAATAAAAATTAACAATGAAAGGCTAGGAGGTAAAGAAGTGGCGCTAACGTGTGTAGCTGCCAAAAGAAAAACATGTATAGACAAATCTTTCAAGAAACTTGGCAGCGAAAGGAGTCAGAGAGGTCCTGAGGTGACATCAAGTCAAAACAACATTCTGTTTTGTTTTAATGTGGGAGAGGGTAGCAAATGCTGACTAAAAAAACCCAAAACACCATCCAACAGAGAGGTCACATTAGAAATGCTGGCGAGAGAGAGAGAGAGAGAGAGAGAGAGAGAGAGAGAGAGAGAGAAGTACAGGAGGAGAGAACTGAGAATGTGGGTTGGAACAGGGTTCAAAGCCTTTGTCAGGAGGAAGGAGAGAACATCCGTGCTGAGGAAAGTGAGTGAGGTTGTTTGGTAGAGCAAGGCAGGTCAGAAGCTAAGGGCAGTCATGTCTGGGGGTCCCTGTACTCTCCATAAAAGGAGGGGAGAAGCTAGGAGGTGGCTGCTGGGAGCCTGTCTCCCTCGCACCTTTCCTCCCTCTCCAAGCCTCCAGTGCCATTGCTCGGGGAGTTATCCCAGAGTCCAGGAGAGCAGGCAGAGCCCTCACCAAGCTGCGGCTAGAGACAGAAGCATTACAGCAAAGAGCCAAGCCCAAGAGACCAAGATGGGGGAAAAAAGAGTGAGACAGCCTCATAGATCCTGTGACAGGAGAGAGGAGTGAGGCCACTTACTCTGAAGGCTCCTGGGTCTGCCTCCCCTAGAAGGCTCCAGGTCTGGAGGTCACTGTCCCAGGGACTGAGAGTCACACCCGAAGGAAGCAGAAATGAGATGCAAAAGAACCAATTTTAATTGGAGGGTGGAGGCAGGAAATGAAATGAGATCTCCCTCCCTGTTAACCCTGGCTTGGCCGTGGGCAGAACTGACAACTGGTACAACTGAATCCCAAAAAAGGGAAAAGATGGAGACAAAAGAGACAGAGACCAAGGGTGGAAACAGTCAGAAGAGATACAAAGAAGCACAAGAGAGGTAGGAGCAGACAAAACCAAGTCAGAGAGAGAAACAGAGAGATGAAGCTGGCTGATGCTACAGTTCACTCGCTCTCTCCGTCGCTCGCTCCCTCCTTCCCTCCCTCTCTCCCTCACACACACTTATACACTCATTCTGTGAAAAGGGTTGAGCCTACCTGGACCCCTCAATCAGCTAGTGAAAAGCCAGCATCCTGGATGCATGCATTCCCTTGTCCAGGCCGATCAGCATCCATAGAAAGACCTTGTCAATGATCTCTCTCCTCCTGCCCCTGAACTGTGCGGCTGGAGAAAAATACAAAAACTGACCAGATCCTTGAGGTCTCCAGGCTCCACTGGGTCCTCACATAATCTATCAATCAATGCTTTTGATGGCTTACTCTCTGCCCTTCCAAACACCGTCTGTTGCCCCAAGGCCGAACCCCACCCTTGCCTTGCCATCCTCAGCGGGTCACATTGCCTCCACTTCCTTCAGAAAAACACCACTTGATAGGAGCGCCTACAAATTCCCTTCTCTCTCTGAAGTGTCTCTGATTCTTCATCCTTCCCTTCATTCTTTCCTATAGGCTATCGATATAAAGGCAAAGTTCTTGGTGATGAAGTACCCGCACCCAACTCAAACCAGCATATGAGTAGGAGGTCCCAAGGTTGTGCATGGTCAGTTGGGGCAGCTGGCAACACCTCTTCATCAAGGGTGCTTCTCTCCTCTGGACTTCTCACCATGGAATTATCTCAGGGTGCCAGCCGGACTAAGGCAGACGCCCACCAGGTACACATAAGGGAAGCCACAGCCCAGGGAAGCCTCTCCAGCATGTCCCTCATCCTGCCCAAGACCATCCCTCTCATCTAGGCTTCTCCATTCATGTTCCTCTTCCGTCCTTGTTTCATTAGATAGCTCTCCTTACTCATACTTGCATATTAGATCTTTGTCTCTTCTCTAGACTCTGACCCTTAGTTTAAAATATACTTAAAACTCTTCTGGCCTAAATTTCCCACCTCTCAATCCTGCTGTTCCCCCAGCTACTGCCTTAAATGTCTCCTTTCCTTCCAGCAACTTCCTTGAGAGAGTAGCCAGCACTCACCATGGTCAATTCAAACTGACCATTCTTTCACATCTGAATTCTGATTTCCATGTGCAGCCCCCACCCAATTCCACTGACAGATCCAGGTCATCAAATTCAAGAGCCACTTTTCAATCATTCTCTGATAGACTGTTCACCTATGTTTGGGGGAATTAAAAAAAAAAATTATGTACTGACAGGGGAGCAGAATTGTGTGAATTCTAATTATAGAAGGCAGCTCCAAGGAGAAAGCAATTCTTGGGCATAGGAATCAGGGCTAAGAAGCCCAAACTCGCTTGCCCAACTTGACAGCTGGATGCCTGGACTTGACCTAATTAAGGGAGGGGATAGGTTTCCTGACAGGCAGATGTTATCACCCCTATTACATCAAGAAGGAAGGCAAGGCTCCAAAAAAAAAACACAAAAACCTACAGATTGCCCAAAGCTCCACAGGGACTTAGGATCAGATCTCCTTTCATCACATAGTATTGGTAATAGCTACCACTTAATAGCAACTGCTGTATATCAGGCATTTGCTAAGAACTTTACAGAGCATTATTAGTTTAACCCTCTCCCAAAGTACAGACTAGAATCTCCACCTACCCACTCTACAATGCTGCTGGGGTGTCTAATGGACATTTCTTTTTTTTTCTTTTTTTTAAAAAAATATCTTTATTGACTTCAGAGAAAGGAAAGGAGAGGGAGAGAGAGAGATAGAAACACCAATGATGAAAGTCACTGATTGGCCGCCTCCTGCACGCCCCCTGCTGGGGATTGAGCCCTTAAAACCGGCATGTGCCCTGGCCCAGAATCGAACCCTGATCGCCTGGGTCCTAGGTCGATGCTCATCCGCTGAGCCACGTCCCGCCGGGCTCTAATGGACGTTTCAATGGTGACACTTCCAAAAATGATCTTTTCTCAGAAACCTGTTCCACTTGGAGCTTTCACTATCTCAGTTAAACAACTTCTTCATACTAGTGCTCAGCACAAAATATTGGAGTCATCTTTTCTTTCACACTTCACATACAGTTTCTCAGAAAATTCTCTTCTCTCCATCCTGAAAATATACCCGAAATCTGCCCACTTCTCACCACTTGTACTGCTATTAGTTTGACGCCAACCACCGTCATCCCTCACTTAGGTTACCTGGTATTCTCCTACCACCTCTCTGCTCACTCTCTCTCACTTGCCTCTCCCCCAGTAACCGGCCCCCCCCCCC